TGATGATGATGGTGATGATAATGGTGATGATGATGGTGTTCAGGGTGATGACCAAGATGATAAAGGTGAAGGTAATGAAGGTTTTGATGTTGGTGATGCTGGCAGTGATGAAGGTAATGATGATGAGGAGGAAGAATAATAGTGATGATGATTGGCATTTGCAATTTCAATGATGGTAAGATGACGATAACAACAAACATGAGAGTAACATCTACTAGTACCTTCCATTAAGAAGACTTATACCCATAACAATCTACATCTACGTTGCATCAAATATCGTACCTCCCTATTTTTTGTYGTTTCAGGTTTTTGGAGCAAAACTAAATAACGTATTTGGCAAAGCTGAAGGACTGAAAGCTGATCTTGGGTTTGGAACAAAGACAAAGTCATCATACCAGGTAGGAAACAATTCCTGCAAGGGATTCCATTCTATCAGGGTGACAAAGACGGGGGTTCCCATCACACTTCACACTGAATTTTTAAACCAAATCATCCATCATGGAGCACTAACGTTGGGAGGGAGCACRTGCCCCTGGGCACCCCTGCCCAAATTTGCTTTGTGCATCAAAATTGACAAAGATGGGGGTTCCCATCACACTTCACACTGAATTCATAAACCAAATCATACATCTTGAAGCACTAATGTAGGCCAGGGGGCACATGCTCCCCCCCCCCCCCCAATTTGCTTTCGGCAAATTTAATTAATTCATGCAGGATTCCTGTGGATTTGTTGGAAAGAAGGTACATTGCCCCTCCATTAAACAAGACCTCGCTATGCCCCTGTCATGGAGAAAATGTTTTGACCTATTATGCATTACACATAGCGTTCCCATATGAGACCATGCATCATGATCATGCTTGCAGCTCATTTGGGAATATAATCACGATTTATGCAGCTAATTTTGGCGCATAACATGTCCAGCAGAAACCCTTTGCCACCCTGTTCATTTTTGGTGATGTATTAAATATTGATTGATATCATTGTGTTTTTATTTATAGCTTGTATATACCAAACCAGTCTCCATAAACCCCAGTAAGAGGTATGGCATATACATGCTTAGTTTAAATCTATTAAGCTCATTCGTGTATCACAGCAAGAGACAAACACAACAGACCTAGGCTTCAAACTAGGCGAAAGCCCAAAGATAGAATTTGTATTTAGAACCTGTAAAAGATACCCTTAAAGCAAAGGAGAGAACGAACAAGCAACTATACTCACATACGACACTGAGTCCGGCAGGATTTTAAAACCAGGAGCATTGGTGAGAGGCGTGAGTCTAATGGGTTGGGTCGCTGGTTTAAGTCCTGCAGTCGCAACATGTAAATTGAGTTTGTTTGATGTGTTGTTCTCTCCTGTGCCACGAGGGTTTTCTCCGGGTTCTCCGGTTTCCTCCCTCCGTAAAAATCAACATTTGAGTTGAGCGTTATGTGCAGAGAAAATTGAATGAAGTGGTAGTGCATGKGAGTGAAAAGTGTCCCAATTAGTGTTAACTTGTCGTTACGATGGAGAGTAGGTGCCTGGCAAAGCGGTAGGCGATGGCAACTAGCTGGCAAGAGGTAACCATGGCAACCAAGCCACGGGTCAACCTCGGCACCTGTCACACTGCTTACACAGTGGAAGTAAACTACTTACCTTGTCCAACCAGAGGAGGGTGGGCGGGGCAAAACCGCGATATGAGGGCAATGGCTAACAGCAACTCAGTTAACTTTGCTTAAATTTAACCACATTAGTCTTCAAAACTCGGAATGTGTAGTTCCAGAAATTATCTAAGGGGTAGGGGGGTCAGAGAAAGAACAAAATTACAGGGTTTGTATGGAAGAAAATTGGAATTTCTGGGGGTAGGGGGAGATGTCCTAAGAAAATCCCTCTGTGTGGGGAGGGGGTATGGAGGATTTGGATAATTTCTGGAACTACGCCATAAAGGTTTGCCATTGTCTAATTTGCCATAATATTAGTACTTTTTTATGATTTCTTCACATTTTCTTCATATACAGTGGTCATAAAGAAATAGCGGTAATGTTACTTCAGCATGGAGCTAACACTTCTATGAGGAATAAGTCAGGTGACTGACATTTAATAAATTATTGATACAATATATAGTTAGTGGAGAAACAAAGAATGTTGTGCATGATTTTGTTGTCTTTGTTCATACACGATTCACATATATTGTTCCTTGCTAGCAGAGCCTATTTACCTTTTGTTTTGGTAGAGTGAGAAAAATAGACTGTGCCGATGTAGGACGTTATGCTTGTCGTACCAGTGCGTGGCATAACTTAGCAATGCTGTCATGATTTCGACAGCCGCTCTCAAACAACTACATGTACAATTTACCCGGTTAAAAAAAACGGTTTTAAAACTGTTTTCGTTCATCCCCAATTGTGGATGGCAGTGTGTCAAAGTAAACGTTTTACATCAGCAGAGTCTCCCTCCTCCCCACGTTAACGAAGGGAGAGAAAGAGGAGAGACTCTGCTAGCAAGGAACATATATATGGTATCTGCAGGGCTTGAACCAGTGACTGAAACTACAGTGGTGAAAGATGATGCATTAGCAGTGTACACCACCCATGTTACCCTTTTATTTTCCCATATAATTATTTCTCCATAATTAATTATTTAAATGATTTGTTATGTGACAGGTCAAACACCTTTAGAACTAACAAAAGACTTAAAGATGAAGAAACTACTGGATGTTCAGCCACTTCAGGTAATCTGTGCTCAGACGACATTTCATATATGCTTTTCATGTCTTAATGTGTTCTGTAAAGGAGAATATATAATCTAAGAGGGCTTAAAGTAACACCCAGTATGTCGCCAATCATAATGGCCGGCCTAATTAGTTTTAGTTTGGTAATACCTTGTTTCTGGGTCAATGTTAATGGTCAAAATGACACCAGCAAAGCAAAGATTTAACTGGACATTGTCTGATGTCCGGCAGTTATTTTAAGCCCTTGCCTAACTATTATGTTACTAGTCTAGCATGCGGCATGATTGTCTTCATTTTTTACAGGCTGCACATGCATATAACACCATTCTAACGTCATAACACTAATTAATTGCTGATAATGAATTAATGACAATCTAATGAAAGATTCTTTGTTAATACTAATTCTCTACTAACTATGGATGAGGATTTGCTAATGTCTTTGTAAATAACTTGTTTTTATGCTGATAAAGGACTATTATGTCCAAAATGCCAGTATATTCTGAAATAATTCATGCAGCATTTTTAGGTTACATAAAAGTTAATTCTGCTAAATTTTGATTTAAAAATTGCTCTTAATTGCAAGCAAATTAATTTAAAAGTGAAATTGTTTTAAAACTGTTAAAACTGATTTTAACGTTATTCCAATTTATTTCATGAATGAATTGAATGAATATTATGAGATAATTAGGATAGTACATGCGCTACGATTGGTTGAAAACCATGTTTGATGAGAATATCAAAACATGCTCACGTTTTTTGATACTCTGATCAAAACAAGCGGGATGTTGAGAGAACACATGAGAAGCTGGAAACCACTCCGGTAAGCATCATGGTTTCCTATGCTCCTCTCGTGTTCTATCAACATGCCGCATGTTTTGATCAGAGTATCAAACACGGAAAACTGTTTTTGATCTGTTAATCAATATATAATAATGTATTTGTACTTTTCTTTAACTCAGTGCATCACTATTGGTGTACAAATATTTGATACAATTATAAACTGTTGTTGTTGTTGTAAATGTTGTAAAATGTTACAAATCATTTTTATTTTTATTGAACAGTTAATGGAACAGCTTGTGTTTTTTCTGTCACTATTTGATAGGTAGCAAAGATTAACAATTCCTTTCAAAAATCACCGCTTTTGAAAAGAAAGGTAAATCTGACAGGATGGTAATAGAAAGAATGTGACCCCAAATAGTTTTGGTAGGATGTTGGACGACAGTATACCATTTTTTTACCTACAAACTACTGTTTTCCTACTAGCATCCTACATCTAACCTTACAACACTCAGTCTACCACTAATCTATCAAGACTCCACTAACAACCTAAACAAACATCCTACAGATAAAGTGCCGACGACCTACCAACACTAATTTTGGAGTAGCTTCACATTAGTTATAATTTTTCAAACTGGATACTTGGAATTGTTCCAAAAATCCTGTGATATTATTAGTATTTTACAGTTCCATTTTGTGACCACCAATGATATTTCCAAGTCAAAGTTGGGAGTAAGCCATGCATGATAAACTATAGTTTCTATGCAAGGCAACTCCAACCTCGGCATGGAATGTACTCTTATTTGTCATTACTGAAAAGTCCACTGTAAAAAGGAGCATTATTATTTTTGGCATTTTGAGTTTTTTTTCTTTAATTTTGATTTAATTTTTCAGTTATATATTCTTCCTCACTTCAGTTTCTATTGCTAATATATTTCTATATCCTCATCCATTATAATACCACATTTCTACACGTAACATCCATACTATTGCTAATATATTACTATATCTTCATCCATTATTAATACCATATTTCTGCGCATTCTCTCCCTCTTGTAATACACCTACATGTAACATCCATACTATTGCTAATATATTACTATATC